GAGTGGCTCTGTGAGCGAAATAAACGCTTCAGTTTGACATTCCAACCACCTGAAGAAGGCCGGAGCGTATAACGACCGAAACGTTGTGATAAATATGGCGACAAAGATGAGGACAATAGTCCGAATAATGTAAATAATGTACATAATACTTAATCTCAGAAATATAGACAGATACTGAAAGGCCGAAACGTTGTGATAAATATGGCAACAAGACAATAGTCCGAATAATGTAAATATTGTACATAATATCTCATCTCAGAAATATAGACAGATACTGAAAGGCCGAAACGTTGTAATAAATATGGCGACAAAGATGAGGACAATAGTCCGAATAATGTAAATAATGTACATAATACTTCATCTCAGAAATATAGACAGATACTGAAAGGCCGAAACGTTGTGATAAATATAGCAACAAAGGTGAAGACAATAGTCCGAATAATGTAAATAGTGTACATAATACCTCATCTCAGAAATATAGACAGATACTGAAAGGCCGAAACGTTGTAATAAATATGGCGACAAAGATGAGGACAATAGTCCGAATAATGTAAATAATGTACATAATACTTCATCTCAGAAATATAGACAGATACTGAAGGGCCGAAACGTTGTGATAAATATGGCAACAAAGGTGAAGACAATAGTCCGAATAATGTAAATAGTGTACATAATACCTCATCTCAGAAATATAGACAGATACTGAAAGGCAGAAACGTTGTAATAAATATGGCAACAAAGATGAGGACAATAGTCCGAATAATGTAAATATTGTACATAATATCTCATCTCAGAAATATAGACAGATACTGAAATGCCGAAACGTTGTAATAAATATGGCGACAAAGATGAGGACAATAGTCCGAATAATGTAAATAGTGGACATAATACCTCATCTCAGAAATATAGACAGATACTGAAGGGCCAAAACATTGTTATAAATATGGTGATCACACAGAAGACCATGACGCAATTCACTCCGCCAGAAATTTGGAAACAGCATGCTGTACTGCTTGGCATTCGCACCAGGAGCTCCAATACGAACAATTCAGAGTGTTTGGGTGTCAATCTGAGGACAGTGCAGCGGATTCGGAAAGAGTTGGACGAGTCTAATGATGATTACGAATGAACGGCGTCCTCGGAAAACTCACTGATCGTTCTGATAAGTAAAGTACTCACGAATTTGGTGAGATGTAGGCCATGATTGGCAACGAACCCTCTAATTTAATTAGGTCTATAGCCAGGGATACGGAAATGTTTGAGTTTCTTATCAGGCAGGTAGTGCATGAAGACATTCGGTATTTTTCATATATAGTTGAGAAAAAGCGAATTTTTTCCCCTAGCCATGAAGGACAAGAGGAAAGACCGCCCTACGACGCTTTTGAACAAACTCAAGCAACCCCTCCAACCGAACATGCCTTGGCTTTTCTCAGACAAGAAATATTTTTTCCAGGATAGCAAAGTGATCAAACAGAACTACCGTTGACTTGCTGTGCCATTAAAAGTTGTAAAAGTAATGAAAACGAAATATCCAGTCAACCTTATGGTATTTGCAGTAATAACTAGTGATGGCGAAGTTGTGCCTCCATACATCTTCCAACAGGGCCTCAGACTCAACACGGACGCTTACATCAAGTGCCTTGAGGAGGTAATGCTGCCCTGGGTCAAGAGGGTGGCTGCTGGAAGACCCTATGTCTAGCAACAGGACTCTGCACCATACCACACAAGGAGGAGAACCCAGTTATGGCTGTCAGACAATTTCTGCGACCACATCACACATTGCATCTAGCTACCTAACGCTCCAGACTGCAACCCGCTTGATTATTATGTGAGGGTGCAGTTGAGCTAGAGACCAACAAAACTCCATATTACACCAAATATGAACCGAAGGCAATCCTCTTGCATGACAATGTTCAGTCACATGTTGCACAACGAACGCTACAGAAATTGAATAAATTGGGTTTGCTAAACTGTCTCATCCACCTTAGTCATCTGACCTCTCGCCAAATGTTTTAGCCAACAAACCGATCAAATACATCAGAAGCGTATGGGTCCAGCACTAGTGAACAGAAAAAAGAAAAAAAAAACAATCCCGATACTAAAATTGAATGAATTGCGTTATCAAACTCTGCCTCATCCAAATGATCGACATGACCTCTTGTCAACTAATTACCAATTTTCCAAACATTTGGGCAACTTCTTACAGGAAGATTTTTTTCCAACTATTCAATTACAGTCCAAAATGCCTTCGAAGACATGTAAACTAGTCATGTAAACAGGTGGTCACCCCAGGCAAGGATTATGGCAAAATTCAAAGGAAAAGCGATCTAAAATCCGAAGAAGAAGCTTTGAATCATATTGCTCAACTGCTTTCTCGAGAGGCTCCATAAGTTTTCTATGGGGTTGAGGTCAGGAGATGGGGCAGGAGATTCATAACACTCACCTGCTTCTCATCAAAGTATTCCTTCATCAATTTTGATTTGTGACAGGGAGCATTATCCTGCATAAAAATGAGCTTGGTGGGGTCGATTTGCACCCTTTCAGCAGAAGGGAGCAGACAAGACTCTAAAATTCTCTTGTACTGCTCGCTCCTGAGGGTCTTTTCAATAGGTTTTAAGAAACCAGTTCCATGAAAAGAAAAGCATCCCCAGAACATTATACTGAACGGATGCTTGACAGTACTTACTGCTAAAATTCAAAGAGCTTCCAAAGCTTCTTCTTTGGATTTTAGATCGCTTATCCTTTGAATTTAGCTCAACTTTCGTTTCATTGGAGAAGAGAACATTTAGTAAAAATAAAATCAGGTGAGTCACTTTTATCGAACAGCAATGTAGTTGAGAAACCAAATTTTCAAACATTTGGGCAAATTCTTACAAGGAAAGTTTTTTTTCCAACGATCCAATTACTGTCCAAAATGCTTTCGAAGACATGTAAACTAGACATGTAAACAGGTGGTCACCCTAGCTGCGCTTGGGGTGTGCACATGTGGGACAACCGAATAAAAGGAAGATATGTAAGCGCCACACTCAAGAGAGAAAAGACAGCGAAAATCTCTCACGTCATTGCGAGACGTATCCGAAAATAAAAAAAAAACACTTAATAATTAGCATCAGAAAAATACAGGTGAAAAATTTCTAGGGTGGATAATGAGGAAAGAGGGTTTGGAAAGTTTGGCACTCACATGATATAGTGAGGACAAGCGGGACAGAGAAATGTAGAACGGGGAGAGATAGCAAAAGCAATTTGAGAGCTACATTAGAGAGGAAATTGTGGAGAGACATGACTGGAACGCCCGAAAGGGATGTCACATATAGTGATTTAATAAAGCACTACTCAGCCGTAATTCGTCTATCGAGACAAGCTCGTTAACCATTACACCAAGCTTAATCGAACAAAATGCGTAACATGATTTAAGAACCATAGTTTAATTGCGACAAATGATCGAAAGTAGGGAGTACCCAGTGAGGCTCGAACACACTAACAAGCTTGTTAACTGTAACACTACATCGAAGTACCCTAAAGGATTTTCTAAGCGTATTTTAGTTGTGGCACAAGGCCGAATATATGAGGCATCCAGTGAGGATCAAACTCGCTACTCAGTCGTAATTAACCAAGCGAGACAAGGCTGCTAACCATTGGAGTGCTCTAAATTATTTCCAAAGCGAAGCTTAGATAGAACACAAAGGGAGAAAGTAAACAGCAAGGATTGAACTCAATACCCGGTCTTAATTGATCTATCGAGACAAGCTTGCTAACAATTACACCATGTCGAAGTGTGCAGAAATTATTTTCTAAGAGTAGCTTAGATGTGATACAAGACACCCAGTGAAGATCGAACTCACTACCGGGTCTTAATTGATCTATCGAGACAAGCTTGCTAACCATTACACCATGTCGAATTTCTCTAAGCTTAGCTTAGATGTGGCACAAAGTCGAAAGTATGCAATACAGCGATAGGATATATAGGAGAAGAAAAAGAAGAATAATATGGCAGGTAGGTTACATCATTTAACTGTTTTAATTGCCAATTGTCCCTATTGAATAAGGTTAAATGTCTGCTGTGTTTGGCTTTCGGAAAACAACACAGTACATAATAACTTTCCTATCACATTTTATAGAGGGAATCGGCTTCTTCTTTATTAGGGTTTGTAAACAACGTAATACAATCGACTCTACGCAAGTTAAGTAAACGGCGAAGATATCGTATAATTTGCAAGAAAGATGCCGGAAACCTTTGCCTCAACCTAAGAAAAAAAAAAAAAAAAAAAACGAGCAAAAATAGTGAGCAGATACCGAAAAATGTTGAGCAATCAATCACTGACAGCCGATAATGAAGGCACGTTTTCTAGTATTCTAATGAGCATGCGCAGAATGCCAAAAACGAAAGACAATGCGATGAGCGAGGCGGCAAAGCGCCCGTAAGGAGATAATAGAAAGTTTATGGCACATTTCTCGGTGAAATATCTTTGACGATCATTCAAACACAACCTTTAATAACCTATGTGTATATTATTGAGGTTTTATTAAACACCTCTCTCTCTCTCTCTCTCTCTCTATTTAAATCTATCTATCTATCTTTCTAAAATTTTAGTTGTTTTATCTATCTTATCTATCTAAAGTTATTTAATCTATTTATCTATATATTTATCTGTCTTTGTGTTCACATCTATCTATCTATCTATCTATCTATCTATCTTGTTCGTCTATTTGAACCTATTTTATACATATCTCTATATATATAATAGCTAACTATTCATATATATATATATATATATATATATATATATATATATATATTTATACCTTGTGTGTGTGTGTGTGTGTGTGTGTGTGTGTGTGTGTGTTCATAAAATTCATCATTGCCTGATCCAATTTTCTTTATATCTACCTATCTATTTATCTATCGCAATCACTTAATATCTATCGCAATTTAATTGTATATATGTATCCATATATATACAAATATATTAACAGGTTTTTGTTATGTGAACAAACAAAAATTAATAATCTTCGACTAAAGCGAAGCAAGATAGATAGATAGATAGATAGATAGATAGATAGATAGATAGATAGATAGATAGATCTGAAGTGACCGGAATAGATATACAGAGAAATGGGCAGATATAGTTGATATACAGACTGAAATATGTGTGTGTGTATTTGTGTGCTTGTGTTTCTGTGTGTGTTTGTGTTTGTGTGTAAATTGTGTTGAATGAAGAATTTTTTTACGTAAAAATTCCAGATATAACTGAAAATGTATCTGCAAAAGACAATATGATTAAAGACAAAAGGAAAACTTAAATTTTTTACTTAGCTTGATGTACAAACTTTTGAAAAAAATACATTTTACTTTCCTTTATAAATAATTGTTACAAAATAAAATCCTTATATTTTCCTTGATAAAATCCATCAGACGAAACGAGTAGATAGATAGATAGATAGATAGATAGATAGATAGATAGATATGAACAGAATGAGATAGATAGATAGATAGATAGATAGATAGATAGATAGATAGATAGATATGAACAGAATAAAACAGATAGATAGATATGAACTGATTGAGATAGATAGATAGATAGATAGATATGAACAGAATGAGATAGATAGATAGATAGATAGATAGATATGAACACAGTAATATAGATAGATAGATAGATAGATAGATAGATATGAACAGAATAAAACAGATAGATATGAACAGAATGAGAGAGATAGATAGATAGATATGAACAGAATAAAACAGATAGATATGAACAGAATGAAATAGAAGATAGATAGATAGATAGATAGATAGATAGATATGAACACAGTAACATAGATAGATAGATAGATAGATATGAACAGAATAAAACAGACAGATAGATAGATAGATAGATAGATAGATAGATAGATAGATAGATAATGAACTATGATTCACAGAAGTAGCGTGAAAGTTAAGTACAGTTTTACATAATTAAACCGAATGATAGAAACATAAAACTAAAAATGCCTAAGTAAAGAATTAGTTTCTGTCACTAAAGAAAAGCCAAAGAAGAAACCCTAAAAGATAGTCGGACGGAAATAAGCGTATCGGAATGAAAGATACTAAATATCCTGACATAAATCGAAGAAACAATTAGATTTTCCTTCTCAGAAAAATTCTCGTTCATTTATGACTTTTGGCTAAAATTTTCTATTTTTCTATTCCTGCCGTTGTAAACAAAACTTTGGGTCTTGAGATGGTCGTATATTGTTCACCATTTCTTTTTTTTTTATCTCCTATAGTCCATAATTTTCATTTTTTTTTTTAAATCTTATTTTTTTTGTTCTCTTTTTATCGTCTGCTCTTTCTTTCCGTTGTTGCTAGTTTCCTTTTTTCGTCTTCTTCTTCTTCTTGATTTTCTTATTTCATCGTCGTATTTGGGATCCTCCTCCTCCTCCTGATCAGTCTTGGGATTCTTTTCTTCTTCAAATTCTTTCATTTTCATCACTCCTCCTTTTCCTCCTCAATCTTCTTTTTTTTTCTTATTTTCGTCATCAGTTTCCTCCTCCTCCTCCAAAATCAATCTTCTTCTTTTCTTCTTTTTCGCAGATTTCCTCCTTCTCCTAATTCATTCTTCTTTTTTTTCTTCTTCTTCTTCTTCTTCTTCTTCATTGTCATCACTCCTCCTCAATCTTCTTCTTCTTCTTCTTCTTAGTCATCACTCCTCCTCCTCCTCAATCTTCTTCTTTTTCTTCTTCTTCTACTTCTTCTTCTTTATTGTCATCACTCCTCCTCCTCCTCCTCAATCTTCTTCTTCTTCTTCGTCATCACTCCTCCTCCTCCTCCTCCTCCTCAATCTTCTTCTTTTTCTTCTTCTTCTTCTTCACTGTCATCACTCCTCCTTCTCCTCCTCAATCTTCTTTTTCTTCTTCTTCTTCTTCTTCTTCATTGTCATCACTCCTCCTCCTCCTCATCCTCAATCTTCTTCTTCTTCTTCATCGTCATCACTTCTCCTTCTCCTCCTTAATCTTCTTCTTCTTATTAACTATTGAATCATTTTCTTATTCTTTTTTCAGCATCATCACCTATTTTCTTTTCGTATACTCCATCTTCTTTTCCTCTTCCTCATTTCCCTTCTTTTCCACATTCTTCTTTTTCTTCTTCTTCTTCCTTCCTTCTTCTTCTTCTTCTTCTTTCCTTCTTCTTCTTCTTCTTCTTCTTCTTCTTCTCCTCCTCATCTTCATTCCATATTCGTCTTTCCACTTTTTTCCTTTTCATTTCACCGTTTTCTTCTTCATTATAATTCCATCTGCCTTCTCTTCTTTTATTTCTTCATCCTCTTCTTCGCATTTCCGCTCTATTCACCCATTCTTCTTCTTCTTCTTCTTCTTCTTCTTCTTCTTCTTCTTCGTCATTAGTCCTCCTACTCCTCCTAAATCTTTTGCATTTTCTTCTTCTATTTCTTCTTCATCTGCTTCATCATCCCACCCTCCCCTTCACATTTCCTCTCTCGTCACCCATCTTTCCTTCGTCCTCGTCCTCCCCCTCTTCTTCTTCTTCTTTGTTTGCCTCCCTATTTTCCCCATTTTCTCTTTTTCTTCTCCTTCGCCGTAACCCCATCTTCTTCTCATATTCCTCTTCGCTTTTCCTCCCATATTCTTTTCTTCTTCTTTAAATTCTCTTAAATTTCCGCTTTCTTTCATTCTCGCTGACTTAAAAACAAATGAGCGACTCTCCTCTCCTTTCTCTCCTCCTCTTTCTATTCACTTTCCTTCATCCGTTTCTCCATCTTTTGATATTTTTCCTTCATTGTCGTCATCGTCGGCGTGAGTGCAGTTCAATGTTTATCACCGTGCGCTCGTGCCAGAGACTTCTGCCGATGTCAGGCGGACGGATTTAATGGATCGACACAAGTAAAGCCGAAACCGGGGAAAGCACCAGGCCTAATGCAACATTATAAAATTGACACAACTACAACGAGTCGAGTACAAACATTGGCCCGTACCGCACACAGGCCAGCTTCAACATCCTTACACCCGATCAACCATAGAGCACAGCGGGCTTTTATTGGTCAGTGTCGGGTGCCACTTCCCTTCTCGTCCCATCAAATCTAGAAGATGACCAATATATTTAAGGGCGAATGGCAAAATGGTGCAGGCGTTGGGTGATGGCGGACGAGATATCCGTAATGGTGTTAATAAAGAATGAGAAACAAAGCGAAAAATTATACACTGATTGGATTAGATAGAAAGGTTTAAAGATAGATAGATAGATAGATAGATAGATAGATAGATAGATAGAAAGGTTTGAAGATAGATAGATAGAAAGGATTGAAGATAGATAGATGGAAAGATTTGAAGATACATATGTATATATATATATATATATATATATAGATAGATAGATAGATAGATAGATAGATAGATAAATAGATAGAAAGGTTTGAAGATAGATAGATAGATAGATAGATAGATAGATAGATAGATAGATAGATAGATGAAAAGGTTTGAAGATACATAGATATAGATAGATAGATAGATAGATAGATAGATAGATAGATGGAAAGGTTTGAAGATAGATAGATAGATAGATAGATAGATAGATAGATAGATGGAAAGGTTTGAAGGTAGATAGATAGATAGATAATAAGAACAGACTGACATAGATAGATAGATAATTGGATATATAGATAGATTGGTTTGAAGATAGATTGATGATAAGAACAGACTGATATATATATATATATATATAAATATATATATATATATAAATATAGAGAAGAGAGAGAGAGAGATAGATAAAAGAACATGAGATGATATATATATATATATATATATAGATAGATAGATAAATAGATAGATACTTTGAAAAGACTGAAATTGATAGATAGATAGATAGATAGATAATAAAAAAAGATTGTCATAGTTAGATAATGAACTTAAATAAAGATATAATACGGTGATAGATAGATAGATAGATAGATAGATAGATAGATAGATAGATAGATAGATGTTATCGAATAAAGAAATAAATAGACTAATAGATACACAGACAGGTAGATTTGAGCACAGTGGGAAGAATACATAGTGACACAAAGATCGATAGATTGATGGACAGATAGATAAATAGATGAATTGCCATATAGAAATTGCTTTAATATTCTTTGAAATATCAATGATAATCATTTATAAACTGTTAAATCTTAAAGATCAGTGATATTGTTATTCGATTAAAACTGTTTACTATTTATAATTGGAAAATCTCACTATAATTCAACGAATTTTGAATTTTTTGTGTCTATAAACGTTTTTTAAATAAAAAAGGTGCCCATCATACAGAACAGAATTTTTTATAGCAAAATAAAATTAAAATAATTTTCTAATATTTCTCCAACAATAGTCCTAAAATTCAATAAAAGTTTAGATTGTATAAAATATTTTCTTAAATATTTAAGATTAAAATTAAAGTTTAAATATAATCCTATTAAAAAGATATTCACGTCTTTATTCGTTTAATATTTCGTAAAGTCATTTTTTTGGTTATGCGTACAAATATATGAGTGGTTAGAACGTTAGAAATCTGACAATGAGGCCCGGGTTCGAATTTCGCCATGATCGATTTGAAATTTCCTGATGTCATCGGAATTTTTTAAAATTCCTGCATAAACACCTTTGGAAAGGGGTTGACCCAAGACTTGTGACTGAACTTATGTAGATGGAACCCTTGAAAAAATAAGGCATGAGCGTGCTTTTTTTGTTCAAATTATTGATCACGATTTATTTGCTAATAAATTTTCCCAGAAATTGTAACTAAGGTCTGTTCAGCATAGTTGCAGTATAAACGACAAGCTTGAATAAACACAGAATGTACCTGAGCAAATAGAGAATGGCTAGCAGCCATAGTAGACAAGTGGCCAGCTATACAGTCGTCTTTGGTTAAATTTCCCAAACATTAAGTTCTCGATAAATCATACATCACATCAAAAAAAAAAAAAGAAAAAAAAAGCTATTCATCTTAAAAGAAGATGCTTTTTTG